CCGCCCCGCCAAGGCCCCGCCCCCGACCGCGCTGAGACTGCGCTCCCCTCAGGCTCCTAAGCATCACACCAGGGGTTAAAGCTGGGTGCTAATCCCCAGTATGGACGAGGAAAGCTCAGAGGTACAGCAACTTGCCCAAGGACACGTAGCTGTGCCCTGCGGATCTCTATCCCAGGTGTCTGCCGGGATCAGTTTCCTGTCTGCACGGAGGACCTAATCGGGGCAAGAAGATCGGAGAACAGGAGTGTACCTTAGCGTCCCTGTGGCTGCCCTAACGCGTGCCACAGCAGTGGATGGAAAAGCAGTTACGTGTTCTCCTGGCCAGGAGTCTGTCCTGGGTGGGGAGACTCCAGGGGGACTGTCTCAGGCTCTCCCAGCTTCCGGGTGTGCCCACCGACCTTGGTGCTCCTTGGCTGGGCACCCTGTCTGGGTCTCCACTTCTCAGTACCCACTCACTCTCTTAATGTCCCTGTGTCCTTGTGTGTGTCCCTGTCTGTGTCCTTGTGGGTCCCTATGTTACTGTGTGTTCCTGTGTCTTTGTCTGTGTCCTCTTTATAAGGATTCACGCCATGCTGGGTTAGGGCTCACCCTAATGATCTCATCTTAACTAGTTACAAGGACCTATTTTCCCTCACGTAGCTCACAGTCTTAGGTATTGGGGGCCAGGACTGAACTGCATGAATTTGGGGGGGCACGCTGGCACTCATTTGTTACAGTTGTTATGACAACAGTCGCATCAGGAGAAAGGACCCACGGCAGCAGCTCTGGAGAGCCTTTGCCCAGCCCCGTCCCTGGCACCTCCCGCTGCTCAGTGCCTCGGGCTGCTGGTGCTGGAAGAAACAGATCACTGACCCTTCTTAGTGCTGTTTAGTGGTTCTGGGGTTCCACCCTGAGCTCCAGCTCCTAACATTGTGTGCTGACCCCACACAAGGCCCTGTAGGAGGCAGCAGACTGATGCTTGTAGTGCTGGGCAAAGGAGCTTGAAACTCCTGCAACTTCACAGGGGCTGCCCAGGGGAGCCTGGCCAGGGAATCCTCAGCTCCACCCCAGGGTCCACCCCTCTGCCAGCCTGGCTTGGGGACTCCTCCTCAGAAGGCTGTCAGCATCTCCATTGCTGGTTCTCTGGCACACTTGTGTTCTGCAGCACACACCACTGGATTCTGCTGCCAAGACCCAGCTCTGTGTTCAGAGGTAGTGCAGAGCCTATGCTGAATGTCTGTGGATAGCCTATCAGAGGGGACTTCACCTCCAAGTCCCCAGGGAGGGCCAGAGCAGCAGGAATCTTGATCAGCCTGCGGCTCTGGGCTCAGTTAAAACTACAAAAAGGAAAATTGTACCTTATTTTTCTCATATAAATGTTTTTACATAGCTAGAATCAGGCAGCACACTGGGTTATTCATTAATATGTTTCCAGGGCTGTGAACAATACAAGCCTTTATTACTCGGCAGATTGCCCTTTCCACTTGACTAAGTCACATCACTTAGCAGGGAAAGGACAGCCCCTTCCCCTGAGATTGTCCAGCCTCTGTCTGGCAGCCCTGAAGGATCAAGAAAGCAGCAGAGACCAATCACTTGAGTGGATTTTAATTGACTGTCACCTGGCAAATGATTATTGCTTTATGTGAGATTTTTAGCTGGGAGAGACTTGTATGTGCAGTTCACAGGTATGGAAAGCAGGGAAGGAACTGACCTTTCTGAAGCCCTCTTGTGTAGGAGGCTTATTCTGGAAAGGATCCTCAGTACTCAGAATGGTGCTTGGCACACAGTAGGTGCTTAGCAGAAAGTTCTGAAGTAATTGAATGCAGTTAGGTGTTATTAGTCTCATCATCTCACACAGAGACTAAACTCAAAGGGATCAAATCCCAGGTGAAGCCCACAGAGCCAGTGCATGAATTGCTTACAACCTTGCTCAGGAACTTGTAGTCTGGGCAGATCTGGGTGGGGTAGCTCCACATGGCATCAGCTGGGGTCTTTACTTCATATGGCTGGCAGCTGGCACTGGCTGTTGGCTTCTCCAACTGTGCCCCTGGAGACCATCCATTCTTCCTCACAGTGGGGCAGAGAACAAGTAGGGACCGCAACCATGGTCACAATGCCCCTCAAGTTCGGGAGCAAGGGACACAGGCCCATTCTCTCATTGGAAGGGCAAAGCCATATCATGAGGTACATGCAGTTGGGATCATCTGTGTGACCACTTCTGGCTGCTATCATCTGCCACAGCCATCTGGTTCCACATCCCTATTGCGGACCAACTCTCTCTCTCTGTGTTGGTCATAGCACTGTCCTGGGCCCGGCCACAGGGGTTGCTCAGGGCACATAACTACCTGCCTCATCAACCAGGCCTGATCAGAACAGTCCCTTGGCTGCTTGAGTGACCAGGTTGGAGAGTGTCATACTATGTCTTTGCAGGATGCAGAGAATGTCTTTGGAATTCAGAGGAATAGGCCTTAGGTCAACAATGCCCTCATCAGGAATCTGCTCTGCTACATCCTCAAAGCCATGCACAGAGAAGCTCTGATATATTTCTAGCAGGGCCCAGGAATGGAGGAAATGCTCAGCCCCAGCCATGCCTGCATCAGGCAACAGCCAGTGGGGGGCTCCTGTCTAATTTTGGGCACACAGCACTATTCAAAATGAAAGGCAAGTTGGACATGGTGGCACAGGCCTGGAATCTGAGCATTCTTGGAGGCTGGGGCAGGATGGAAAATTTGAGCCCGGCACAAGGAACTTAGTGACTCAGTGAGAGCCTAGCTCAAAGTAAAAACTAAAAAGGGCTCAGGAAGTAGCTCAGTGCAAAGGTCCTGGGTTCAATCTCCAGTACTGCAAAGAAAGAAAGGAAGAAAGAAAAAAAGAAAAAAGGCAACAAAGCAACATTCAGAGGGAGAGAGGGAACAAAGGTGCTTGAGAGAGCTTTAGAGTCATGGGGTGTTTGGCAATGGCTTCATGGGTATGGATGTGTGTCAAAACTGGGATTGCATGCTATTTATTTATTGTGGTACTGGGTATCAAATCCAGGGGTCCTCTGCCACTGAACTACAACCTAGCCACATTTATTTATTTATAATTTTTAGATAGGGTCTTGCTAAATTGCCCAGGTGGGACTTGAACTTGTGATCTTCTTGTCTCAGCCTCCCAGAGTGCTGGGATTACAGGTGTGTGTCATCACGCTTGTTGGATTGTATGCTTAACATCTGGCTCACAGTGCATTGGTAATGCTGTAAAAACAAGCATGTGCATTCCCAGAGGATGCAGGAGTGAATGGCCCAGTAGAGAGGCGGTTCCTTTATGGGGCCCTTCAGCCATCAAAACTGCCTTTCTTCTTTTTCTTCTTTCTTTGCTGTCCTGTCCTGTCTTCCTTTCCTCTCCCTCCCCTTCTTTTCTTCTTTCCCAGTACTTAGGATTGAACCCAGGGTCTTCACATTGGGCCATTTTTTATTTTTTGAGACAGGGTTTTAGAAATTGCCCAGGCTGGGCTTTAATTTCCAACTCTCCTTCCTCATGAGCCTCCCAGAATCCTGGGAGTATCGGCATGTGCACCACAAGGGGCTTCGACTTTCTCTTTGGAGTTCACCTTATTAAGAAATAGGGATTCTATATATGTAAATGAGGTAAGGATCTCAAAATGAAATCATCATGGAATTAGGGTGGACCCTAAATCCAGGGACATATGACCTCAGACAGAGAAGGAGAAGATACTGAGAGGAGACTGTGTAAAGACAGAGGCAAAGGAGTTAGGCTTGTGAGGTGTCCACAAGCCAAAGGATGCAGTCCACACCAGACACTAGGGACATGGCACCGCTTCCCCCTCAAAGCCCCAGGAAGAGCTCTTGGTCCTGTGGATAAACAGCTGTGGTTCTTTGCTGGGACTGCTCCTAGGGGAGCCCTGACCCAGGGGTCCTGTCTAGCTCTGCTTGTGCCACCTGTGAGCCTGGAAGAATCCAGCTCATCCACTGCACTGCAGACTCTGAATGCACTGCAAAGCAGCCCCTGCCTTCTTGTCTCCATGGTGTCCCTGCAGTACCCCAGAGGCATTTACAGTGCAAAACCAGTTGTCACACCACCTCCTGCAGGGGGCTGCAGGGACACAGTTCTTTCAGGTCACTATGCTACCAACTTCTGTAGCCCTGGCTCCTGGAAGAGGCTGGTATATAACAGGTACTCACTAAATGCTTCCTGAGGTGATCGGGTAGACATCCCTGTGCAGCTTGGACCCCCAGCCTGGACATGCAGGAGTGGCCTTGTGTAGGAGAATGACCCAGAGACCCGGTGGGTGTGAGGGACTTGCACCCCACTGCAGCTGCTCACCCAGGCCAGCCCTTGTGCACAAGGAGGTGCAGGTGGTGAGCACCCTGCTACAGGAGGTGTGCAGTCCAGGCTAGGCCGTTCGTTTCATAGCCCATCAAGGGTGACAAGCTCTGGCAGGGGTGATGGCTGCCTCTGCTATTCAAAGGTGGGTGCACAACACCCTGGGAGACAGCCCCAAGGTGAGGGTCCTTGCCAATGGTAATGGGGCTCTCAGTGTCTCATGCTGGGAGGGGCCTGACTGCTTCTCGTACCAGAAGCACCTGCCCCTCACAGCTCTTCCTAAGAGGAGCACTTCCCTCCCACCCCACAGTATGGCCACTAGGGCTGGGCACAGGGAAGACAGGGCTGTAACTGGCTACCTGCCCTGGTCTGCAGCCTGCAGCCTGCCCCTGCCTGGTCCATGCTGGGGCAGCACCTGCTTCATGCAGCAGCTGTGGAAAGGCTATGCAGGAGCAGGCTGGGGTGGGCTCACTGTTGGAGATGCAGCTGGGCACCCAGCTGGCCACCTCTGAAGGCCCTGGGACTTGAGGGTCCATGGGTGGTCTCCAGGGGTGGCATGCTGCCAGTGGCTCCTATGGGCCCAATGGACATAGGTGCATGCAGATGGCCCTCAGTGTGGCTGAGGAAGGCTCAGGGCTGGATAAGGTGGAGGGTGAGTGCCGGGCACAATGACCTGTTCTGAAGGGGAGACCAGTGTGGATAGGCAGGTCTACAGTGTCCAGCACAAAACAACCTTGTCCATGGGCCCTGAGGCAAATTGAGGGGGCCCAGATGTCCTGGATGCCTGACCCCACATGACCTTATGATCCCCTGTTTCCTGTCCCTGCAGCTCCTGGGCTCTCCACCCTGCCCAGGCCCCTGCACAGACTCGACCCCACATTCCATGCAGCCTGTAGCTTTAAGCTGCCTGCTGGGGCTGTCCCCTGCAAACTGCTTGTTCCACATTCTCTGGGTGGTGGGGAGGGTGGGGTCCTGGCACGCCCTAGGGAGGGCAGCTATAAGGCTCAGGGACTGGGTTCAGCCGGGAGCTGGGGCCTCCTGCTGCTGCTGTATGGCTCTGCTGTTGCTCCTGGGGCTGCTGGGGCTGCTGGGCCTCTGGGGGCTGCTCTGCACCCGAGCCCCAGGCCTCTCCTCAGCCCCACAGTGGCCCCCTGGGCCTCACCCACTGCCACTCTTGGGAAACCTGCCCTTGCTACGAGCTTCACAACAGGACCGGTGGCTCATGGAGGTAGGGGCAGCCCCTCCACGCAGACCCCACAGCTTCTGTGGCCATGTGCCAGCCTGTGCCTGGGGAAGCCAAGCCCTGTTTCCATATCAGCTCCTCATGTTGCTGGCTCACCTGGGGACACAGAGCCCAGAGTATCCCCTTACCTTGGGAGGCAACAGAACCACCCAACAGGGAGGTAGCCCTGGAAGGGCTGCTCAGGGTCAGTGCCCAGGAGCAGCGGGCCTGAAGGGCTTCCTGGAGGAGGCAGCATTTGAAGGTGGCCTGCAGGAGGTGGGTTTGGGAGCAGTGTAGGGAGGCAGGTTCCCCTGGAAGTGTCTGCAACTAGAAAGAACCCGCAAGGCTTGGAGGTGTCCTCAGACAAGTAGGGTGCCCATGGGTGACTACCCCCGTGGCTGGAGACAAAGTCCTCAGCCCACTGAGGGGAGCACTGGCCCTATGAGGCTGGACCAGCCTTATCCCCTCCATGACTGCCCCAGGGCCCTGGCCAGAGACCAGCCAGGGCCACCCCTCTCCCACCTTCTGGGACATCCCCACCCAAAGGGCTCCTATTTTCCGGGCTGCCTGATACCCCTTCCTAGGATAAGATGCATTGGGCCCCCCAGGGCTGGGCCCCAGCCTCTTCTGGTCTTGGGCAGGAGCTGACCCAGCTGGGGCTCAGTGTTTTTGCAGCTAGCAGCTCACTTCCTGCTAAGGATTTGAATTCCTGTCCTTAGGATGGGACAGGGACAGGCAGGCAGGAGAGGCAGCCCTGCAGTCTTCTGTATTCTCCCTGGGCCACAGGTCAGTGAGTCAGGACTGACCAACAGAACTGGCTCTGTCCATCTGTCCTTTGTTTTGGGTTGAGGGAGCCACTGGCCAAGCTGAGGCCCAGAGAGGGTCAGCGCCCTGGGGACCCTGGGTTGCCTGAGTTTGCCACTCTCCTGTCCGCTGTTGGGGCCCAAGCACCCCTGAGAATTTCTGTTGTGAATAACCCATGATGGCTGTGCCCAGCATAGAATGGGGCCCCCTACCGGAGGAGACTGGGATGGGATCCATGGTCCCCTATGCTGTGCTGCTCCCCCACCGACCCCTGGTTCTGCCAGCTGTCAGAACGCTATGGACCAATGTTCACGGTTCACCTGGGAGGCCAGAAGACTGTGGTGCTGTCGGGCTATGAAGCCGTGAGGGAGGCCCTGGTGGGCACCGGGCAGGAGCTGGTGGACCGGCCCCCCATCCCCATCTTCCAGCTCATCCAGCAAGGCGGGGGTAGGTGGAGGGCTCTTGGGTAGTACCTGGGAGGGACAGGCCAAGGCCAGCCCAGAACAGGAGGGTGCTGGGTGTGAGGGGCCCATCTGCTTCCCGTTGAATCACTGGGGTGGGGCAGGCTCATCCAAATCTCTGCATTTGCGGCTGCAGGCATCTTCTTCTCCTCTGGGGTGCGCTGGCGGGCCGCCCGCAGGTTCACAGTGCGCGTGCTGCACAGCCTGGGTGTGGGGCAGGGCGCCATGGCCGGCAAAGTGCTGCAGGAGCTGGCGAGTCTCACAGAGAAGCTGGACGGCTGTGAAGGTGAGTGGGTACTGGACACCTCTGCCTGGGTCCTCCACCCTGAGCCCTGTTTCCTCAAAGCCAGCCCTTCCCAAGGGCCCCAGATTCCCCCACCTGCTTGAGCCCTGTCTCCCCACAGGCCGGCCCTTCCCACTGGCCCTGCTGGGCTGGGCTCCCTCCAACATCACATTCACGCTCCTCTTCGGCCAGCGGTTTGATTACCAGGATCCTGTGTTCCAGTCCTTGCTAGGTCTGATTGATGAGGTCATGGTCCTCTTGGGGTCACCCAGCCTACAGGTGAGAGGTTGCTGCCCTGCTGGGAGCTGAGGCCCACACAGTCCTTGGACTCAGGCAGCACCCATGTGGCCCGTGTTGGCATGTGCTGAGAAATGGGGGCCAAGCAGGGGGTCTCTGCCTTTCCCTAGGCCCCTGTTAGCAACAGATGCCCCTGCCTAGGACTGTGTCCCTGTGTCCCCCAGGTCCCTCCAGCCAGGCTGTCATGGCTCTGTTACTACACCACAGAATCATTCAGATCATTCTTCTGATGCCTAGGAGCTCTAGGGTGTACATCCCATTCGTTGCCAAAGTTTAAAGACTGTACTTCTGGTTGCTGTCATTTCTGTTTTTACTGAGACCTGCGTGCTAGGGTGCTGTCCCCAGAATGACAGCCGGGCCCAGCTCAGGCATTCTTTGTCACTACTGTACCTGGCACAAAGCCCTGTGAGGGGAGGAAGGTGTGGTGCAGTTTGGGGAGTAGTGAGGGGAGAGGCTTTGGGCTTCCAGTCTTTGGCCCACTGCCCTCAGACAGGTCCTGCTCATGGCTGTAGGGCTGACCACCTGACCCCAGAGCCACCTGGCTCCCTGTGGCCTTGCTGGGCAGCCCAGGCAGCGGTGGTTCCTGGTCTTCCCTGCCTGTGCCATTCCACACCTTGGGGGCCATGTGGGATCTTCCACGTGGGGGTGTTGATGCCCTGGGGAGGAAAGTGTCCTGCACCTCCAAGCCCATCTGCTGTGAGCCTACAACATCTTCTCTGACTCAGGCCCATGGAGTCACTTACACATGGCACCTGCTCCATCACCCTCCCTTCTCTGGGAAAGGGCCTGAGTATGGGAAGCCTGTCTGGATCTGCACACAGCCATCCCGGTATTCTACCACCCGATGGCTCCTTTCTGCACAGATGGTTTCCTGAGTCCCTGGGCACCCAGAGGGGCATTGAGCTCCCTCTTGTGGCCATGGGCAGCACCTGCTCGACACAGCTGTTATGGAGCTGAGAGACCCCTAACCAACCCCTGTCCACCTGCTCTTTGCCCCCAGGTATTCAACATCTATCCACGGCTGGGGGCCTTGCTTGGTCTGCACAGGCCTGTCCTGCACAAGATCGAAAAGGTACGAGCCATCCTGAAGACAATCCTGGAGGCGCGGCGGTGCCCCACATCCAGGGGTGGCCCCTTGCAGAGCTATGTGGATGCCCTGATCCAGCAGGGTCAGGTGTGGGTGAGATGGGCCTCCTTCTCAGCGGGTAGGCCTGGGAGGGTCCCTGCACAGAGCTCCTCATTCCCATCTGAGGCATCCCTGAGCCTTGGTCTTGTCTGTGAAGTGAGACACTGGGCAGACACTGGTTCCATCTTTTCCTACTGGACTTGTCCTTTATCCCAAGCCCAGGGTCAGGCTGGGTATGTGGGTTGGAGAATGGGCCCCCAGACCTCCCATCTGAGCTCAATGGCCTGCTTTACAGGGGGATGATCACCAGGCCCTGTTCTCTGAGGCCAATGCTGTGGCCTGCACTCTGGACATGCTCATGGCTGGCACTGAGACCACCTCAGCTACGCTGCAATGGGCAGCCCTCCTGATGGCCAAGCACCCAGACATTCAGGGTGAGGCCCAGCCTAGTTGGGCAGGATCCTGGGGTGAAGAGATGGCCCCCACTGACATGGCCCCCACCTCTGGCACAGGCCGTGTGCAGGAGGAGCTAGATCGTGTGCTGGGCGCAGGGAGGCTCCCAAAGCCTGAGGACCAGCAGCAGCTGCCCTACACCAGTGCAGTGCTGCATGAGGTTCAGCGCTACATCACACTGCTGCCCCACGTGCCCCGCTGCACGGCCAGTGACACCCGACTGGGTGGCTACCTGCTCCCCAAGGTGGGCCTGCAGGCCGCTCTCCTTCTGTGGGGGACAAGTGGGACCTAGACGGGGCAGATACCTGAGGGTCTGGGCTCCCCAGGAAGAGGCAGGAAAGGGATTGGTTACTAAACTGTATTCTTGCTGGGGTGTCAGAGCCAGATCAGTGTCTCTCACTCTGTCCTGGGGGTCCCACCCTATGCGTCTTGGGGTCCCTCCTGGGTCCTAGAGCCTCACCTGGGCAGTGATACCTCTGTGCCTGCAGGGTACTCCTGTGATCCCCTTGCTGACCTCGGTACTGCTGGACAAGACCCAGTGGGCAACCCCTGACAAGTTCAACCCGGGGCACTTTCTAGATGTGGATGGGCACTTTTTGAAGCAGCCAGCCTTCCTGCCTTTCTCTGCAGGTACCTTGGCCCTGGTGGGTGGTCAGAGGCCACAGGCACCACAATCACTCCTCCCTTGCAGGGCATCCCTTCCCTGCTCCAGGAGAGGACCAGTGCCCCACTTGGTGCTTTGGTTTTCCCCAGGCCGCCGTGTCTGTGTTGGAGAGAGCCTGGCCAAGACTGAGCTCTTCCTGCTGCTGGCTGGCTTACTCCAGCGTTATCACCTGCAGCCCCCACCTGGCATCAGCCTCGCTTCCCTGGACACCAAGCCTGCCCTGGCCTTCACGATGCGGCCCCAGGCCCAGGCCCTCTGTGCAGTGCCCCGGAATTAGGGTGCTCTGCCAGGTGACATCTGCCTGGCCCACAGCACAGGCTGCCCAGAGGGCAATGGGACAGCAGCAGTGCCCCAAGCATGAGTGGCAGGTGGACCCATGGTGCCCATAATCACAAAGGGCCAGGCATCCAGCATCTGGCTTCTGTGTGCAAATTGCGTCCACCCTGGGCAGGAAACAGGACATTTGTTAGGGTGCCACAGCAAGGGACATGACCCCCACGGCCTTTCTGTCTGTCTCCACCCTCCCTGCCCCCTGCATCCCAATACCAGACTCTCCTCTACTCTTGCCCCCTGGGGCAGCCACGCTGTCCATGCAGAATGGATGTGTCCCTTTGGTGCTCCCCTCCCACCTCAGACCCCAGGAGGCCTCACATTGCCCCCATGCCCTGTGACACATCATCTGCAGTGTCCCACATCCTCAGCCAGGGCCGATGTCTGCCAGATGCCCCAATACCTGCAGTAGATGATGCCTGGTCCTGGGGGCACTATGTACCATAGATCAGCCTGGGCTGGTATTGCCAGCTCTCACCTTGCACCAACCAGGCCTGTAGACCTGGCTGATTCTCCTGTAGATGCCCTGCTCTGGCGGTCCTAGGGAGCAGTGATTGGAGGCCTCTGCTGTACCACCAAATGGTGCCCTTGCTCCTCCAAACTAGTATACTCCCCAAGATGGGTGCTGGAGCTGCAGGGCTCTGGTCTGCCCCAATGTGCTGGGGACCTGGAGCCTGGACCTCGGTTTACCCGTCTGTGAAACAGGTCACAACAGCTGCAGGATCAGTAAGCTTTGTTAGGAGGTGCCGGTTGAGGCAGCCCAGGCTAAGACACCAGAATCCCAGGGGCCAGCAGGGAACCAGGGGTGCCCACAGGAAGGGGGAACCAGGGGTGGCAGTGCTGGGGAAGAGAAGCCCCTGAGACCTCAGGGGGCACATGGGGAACAGAAAGGTCACTGGCAAGTCCTTCAGCCCGACCACACCTATGCCCAGGGAGGTCAGAGACCCTGTCAGGGCAGCCACCACTGGAAGAACCAGCTGCTCAGGGCCCCTGTGGATGACAGTGTGGCATTTGTGGGAGGAGGCTGGCCCTCACCTGCCACCCACCCTCAAGGTAGCCTGGCAAAGATGGGAAACTGAGGCACCAAAATGCATAAAGTCCAGTGAGGGTTCCACTCTCCCCACTGCCATGACACACTGAAGCCTTGAGGGCAGGACCTGGGGCTGGGTGGCACCTGTTGCCCTCCAGCCTCCATGGCCTCCTGTGGGCTGGGCTGGAGACCTTGGTGGCTGTTTGGTTTCCAACCCATCTTGTGAGGTAGTTTGCTGACTTCTGTCTTCACTGTGGCAGAAGTAGACACCTGCCTGGCCCCCACAGCTCCCAGAGATTGCTCTGAGGTGGGTTTCTCCAGTGTGGGCCTCTGTAGGACACACACCAGGTTATCCATCTTAGTAGGGTTGTGTGTGACACCTGTCATCAGTTCATACCAGCCTCTCTTTGGGCCATTGTCCTCAGGTGAGGTCACAAGCAGGAAAACAGCCTCCCACACAGATTGGAGAGGGCACCTGCAGAGCCCTGTGGTAATACTGCTGAGGAAGGTGCAGCCCCAGCAGGCACAGTGCAGTCAGGTACCAGTGGGTTGTCCCCACACTAAATGCACCAAGACGAAGGTGGACTGCGATGGGATCCACAAGACACAAAGGGCAGGTGATTTTAAGGAATCAAGAGTCTGATCTGGAAGCAAAGCTTTGTGTTTCCTCAGGACACTAGGAAGGTGCAGGACTCCTCACCTCCTGTCCCTCAGGGCCACTATACACACATTAGCACCTGTGGGTGCCATTATGATCCCAGCTGTGCTGTGGGCAGGGGCAGGGTCCTATACCGAAAGGAGTGGTACCCTGTTCACAGTAGAGTGGGGTTGGGGCCTACGTGGCACGACCCTCAGATTTCTCCCAACCCAGAGTCTAGGGTCTGTGGTGACAGATGGCAAGAGGAGTGGCTAGCAAGGGACATGTGCAGGGCCCCTGGCTGGGTGTTTAAAGCGATTAACCCTGAAATCACAGTGGCATCTGGAGTCACAGGCCAAGGCTGAGCACACAGTTTGCAGACGAGGCCTGGGACAAAGCTTATCTTCTGTTTAAGTTGTGACCAGCAACAGCACTGCAGTCCTAACCCTAACCTGACTCTCCCGCTCTGCCATCTGGGCCGGCAGGAAGCTGCCCACCTGTGTGACCCAGCCCAGAGCTGCTGGCTGCCCTCAGGCCCTGAGGCCTCCTGAAGGCAGCCTGGCTTCAGCCCCACCCTCTTGGCTCGGGCCATCACTGGCAGCTTCCCCACAGCCACCTGGGCTGGGTTGGCACATCTGTCACTTGGGAGTGCTGGCAGCAGGGACCCGCGATGTGCTGGGAACTCGAAGATGCCTCATCTTGTGCAGAGTGTGTCCTAGAAGGGATGGCCACCAAACACCTGCAGAAGAGGCTGATGAACTGACCACTGGGAGTATCACATACGGAGCTTGGATGCCAGAGCAGGACGCTGTCCTGGGGAGGTGCTGCTAAGGACAGCATGGGGCCTGGGCATGCTCACCCTGAGAAGGATGTCAGATCCACATCTGACAGGAGAGCGTGGACACACAAAACAAGAACACAGCAGCTTGTTTTTATTGACCATGTGGCCACACAGGCATAGGCAGACAGCAATTCCTGTGGAGTCCTTGCACCTGTCCCTCACTTGGGGCACACCCTACTCCAACCCTGAGGAGCTGCAGTTGGCACAGGACTGGCGTTGGGAAGTTTCTAAGACATCCCTGGTAGAAAAATAGAAATGTGTGACAGCAACTTCCTGGGTGCAGGTGAGTCTGGTGATCCCTCTGAAGGTTCAAAGACCCACTGTCATGAAGGGGAAGGACATGGCCAGACCTGGTCCTGTTGAATCCCATGCATCTGAGGGCTCACAATGCCGGGTGGTAGTGTCCCACTAGGACAGCAGCTGCAGCACCTGGCGCAGACGAAGGGCCCTCTCCTTCAGGGCAGCATCTGACCCCCCCATATCCAGCTCCTGCATCAGGGCTTCTGCCTTCTTCAGGGTCAGCTCTCGGGCCTTGCCCTGCAGCCCCTCCAGGTAGGCCAGCAGGGTGGGGAAGTGCTCTTCCGGGACCTGGGAGGAGAAGAGGGGAATGTCAGGGAGAACAGAGACCCCAGAGTGGAGGGACGAGGTATCCAGTCTTTGGGACCTTGTGCTTCACCCCGTTATGATTTACCTGGATGTCCCCCTAAAAACCCATGTCCTCAGAGATGGGGCTTTGAAAAGTGATTTGGTTACGGGGTTTATAGTGGACTTCTGTGAAGAGGTAGGGCTGGCTGGAGGAAGGGAGTCACTGGAGGCGTGGCCTGGATGGGTTTATCGCTCCCTTCCCAGCTCCTTTCATCTCACTGCTCCCCAGCCACCACGCCATGAACAGCTTCTCTTCTGCCATGCAGTCCTGCCCTGGAGGTATGGACTAAAACCGCTGCAAACTGTGAGCCAAAACACACCCCCTCACAACCCCCAAACCCTCACAAAAACCCCCCAAATAAACCTCTCCTTTAAGTTGTAGGTGTTAAGTATGGTGTCTCAGCAAGGATGGAAGTGACTAAGGCAGGCTCTGGGGCTACCAGCCCAGTGTCCTTGTACCATGCAAAGGGCTCCCTGCTCTGTGAGGGACAAGAGACAGGTACACACTAAGGGTCCTGACCCTAGAACAACCTCTTGGCCGCTTCCTCACACATTCTCATGTTCTTGTGGGTTAAAAAGGGTGACCCCCACCATTATGCCCCCCTGAAGTGCCACCAAATTGCAAATGGATATGTTTTTTTTTTTTTTTTTTTTTTTTTTTTTTGAGACAGGGTCTCACTTTGTAGTTGAGACTGACCTGGAACTCATTATGTAGCCCAGGCTGGTCTCGAACTCACAGCGATCCTCCTGTTTCAGCCTCCCGAGTGCTGGGATTACAGGCATGCGCCACCATGCCCGGCTCAAATGGATATGTTTTAAAGAAAGCAGTCTGCTGGGACAAAGAATGGGTGAAGAGACCACTGAGGTGGCATTTTGGGGCTGGAGAGCAGATGACCTGAAGAGGGCTTAGCAGACCTGAGGAGGAATTCGGGAAGTGAAGCGAAACAAATCCCTGTCACTTAGAACCCTGCCCAGCTGCAGGGGTGGATGAGCCCTCCCTCTAGAAGGACAGGGCCAGGAGCACTGTTCAAAGTAGTTGGCAACCCATAGTTTGATTTTCAAGTCCATGTAAGCAACACTAACCAAGATAGCAAGGTCCTAGCAGGCCCAGGCATGAGGATAAATTGACAGAAAGGGACAGAACCCAGAATTAAGCCCTTTATCAGATGATTTCTGACTGCTGAAACAGTCCACAGGGAAACAACTGCTACACACACATACACACACTGAAGCAGGTGGCCTGTTTGCCTGGTCTTACAAGCTGGAGCCAGCATCCTGGATAGGCAGGTGTTACCTCCATTTCTCTCCATTTCCTATACCATGAGGGACTATCAGGACAGTGCATATGGACCCTGTCCCCTGCCCTAACGCCCTATCCCCTGAAGCCTGCTCCCATGGCATACAGACCTTGTCACTGTCATACATGTTTAGCAGGAGCCATGTCTGCCTTGTCTTCTGGAATCTCCAACTCTGGTGCTTCTGGGCCCACCTGGGGAAACCGAAACAGACACCTCAGGGTTGGAGAAAAGAATGAGGCTCCCTGAGCAGATGACCCTTGTCCTGTGCTGTACACTGAGGCCATGGAGTCCTAGGTGCTTTGCGGGACTGTCCCAGCTGAGGTGAAGCACTATCACTGAGGCGGACATGCCACTTCAGCACGACATCTACTGCTGCCTCCTAGCCCCAGGGCCTTACATCACCTGCCCTGTGAAAATTGGAGGGGCTTTAGAAATACTTCCCAGGCCAGATGCCCAGGATGAAGCAGTACAGACGTCTGTGACTGGGACCATCCAGCTGCCTCTCAGTTGCCCCTCTGACCCCTCTTGGGCTGGCACCCTGGACATCTGTCATCTGGACTTCCATGTCTTGCCATGTTCAGCCAGCAACAAGACTCATGGGCTTTTTAACTGGTGACGCTATGACATAAAACATCCATCTTACCATCTTCTAGGGTGCAGTTCAGCAGTGTTAAGCACATCTCTGTGGTTACCTCCGATGTCTACCCTTTGCCTGTCATCTTCCCAGCTGGGATCTGCACCCAACACTGACTACCCCCACCCCACCACCATTCTGCCTGCATCCTGGTAGCTCCAAACAGGTACATGACCTCTGTGTCCACCTCTCCCCCAGAATCACATCTTGTCCCCCCAATATCTTGTTTCCCCATCAGAGAGCGAGTCAGCACAGGGAGTGGGCAGAAGGGGTGGCCCTGTGCAGTGCTTCCCTGTGGTGGGACAGCTCCTCTGATGCAGGCGGAAACTGAACTCCAGATAAGGGCAGTGGTCAGAAAATCCAGGGAGAAGCTGTGAGGGCCAAGTCAAGGTTGCCCAGCTGTAAAACCCTGTCTGCTCAGGCACTGGCTTGGTTGGCACTGGTCTCCAGACACCTCTACCCTCAGCAAGGCCAGAACTTTGAAGAAAGGGGTCTTTTCGGGCCACTGCAGGCCTTACTTTCCTTCTATGGAGCTTCCTGGGGTCGGTGGTGGTGGAGGGTACGATGTAAGAACAGGATACCTAAGGGCTCCATGATCCCAGGTGCTCTTGCGCATGCCATGCACATGTACAGCTCTTACCCACAGAGGTAGTCCAGGGCCAGCTCTGCGCCTGAGCGCTTAGCTGGTTGAGCTTGCACTGCTGAGACCCCTGCCTTGTGCAGCCACCTCTTCTCCTCCTTCTTCCGTTCCTTCTTCTGCTTCCTCTCCAGGACCCTCCTTTCCTCTGGGGACAGTTGGGGGACTGTGTCCTGCACCTGGCTCACTGCCAATCCCTGGAAGTCAAGAACAGTACCTGTTAGGCTGGAGAATGAGACTCAGGGAGATCACACTGCAGGCTTCCCAGCCCTTCACCCCATGCCAGGAGGAATGGCCTGGCCTGCACAGGGTGCATCTCAGCTGGGACTGGCTGCAGTGTTGGGGATTGTCGTGTGAGGACAGGGACAAGCACCGCGGGGAAGAGAGGCCTTGGCATTGCTGGACCTGACATGCATAAAAAAGCTGACTGCACACCCCCACCCTGCTGCAGATCCCCCTCTAGGCCTGCGGGGGCCCTATACTTACTCCCCCACCAGCTGCAGTCAGGGATGGCTGTCATCCAGCCTGGCCAGCCCCTTCTCCAATGAGCCTGGTGCTGTCACCACTTGCAGCCAGCAGAAGGCAGCATTCCTGAGACCCACACCTGCTGCCTGCTCCTTTCTGGCCAGTGGGGCAGGACACACTGGTGGCTAGTGTGGTCTTTCCCTACAAGTGGTTCTCATGGTAAAAACCTTACAGGTAGGGGAGTGGCCAGGATAGCCTCTGGTCTCCTGTAGCACTGTCTCCCAGCCACAGCACCAGGATGCATGGACTCCCCCTTCCTTCTGCTTCCCCATGAGCAAACAAGAGGCACAGAATCAAGAGCACCAAGTGACTGTTGGTCCACTCAGGTCGGGAGAGGGGCTGAGACCATTCCAGCACTATCCACTCAGCAGTGTTTACTGTGACCTAGGCCAGGAGCCTGATGTGCTCCACCCCAGCACTTCCAGGAAGGGTGAGCACCTATGGGACCAGGTTCGCAGAGCCCTGGCCCAGGATAAAATATGGCTGGCACAAGGGGTCCCCTCCCTCCTGGCAGGTTCCCTCAGAATATCCATTCAGGACGCCTTTCCCTGCAGCTCTTCCTCTTCAAAGAAGCCCCTGCTGGTATCCAGGCAGGATCCTTGAATGCGCTGTAGGGGAGGAAGGGCCAGGGTGCCCAAGGGGGTCTCTGGATGCTGAGGGACAGGGGAAGAGCATGAGAAGGGGTGACAGCCCCTGGGAAGTCTGCCTCATCCACCAGGTCTTTTACCACACCCCGAGGCCAGAAGGCAGGAGGTGGGTCTGGAGGGATGAGGAGTGGGGAGTACCTGCCTCCTTCTATGAAATGACTTTTCAGTATCCCCGAGCCCAGTTCTCGTCTCTGACCCTAAAGGCCAGGGCCAGAGGGGTCTGGTCACACCGCAGGGGTAGTCTGACTTCTCCGCAGGGACTTCTGGGTACTACAGGCCCAGGTGCTTCCCGAAAGAACATCCACATTTACTCGGGTTCTGGACAGCCAGAGAGGCAGGTGGGCAAAGTCCCTGTGAGGAGCCACAGAAAGAGATGACAGAGGGTGAGGGCAAGACTGAGAATGAATGGCAGAAGCAGTGTTCTGAGCCTAGTGCAGGACTGGGTTGGATGGTGAGGGCTCAGGACACCAACATAGGGGATCTGGAAGGGGACTCAGGTCTAGCTGTTCCTCTCAGGGTTATGGAGAGCCCAGAATGCAGGGTGCACTGTGCATCAGGCATAAGGTCTGGAAGCCGCAGTGGTCCCCTCCTTCAAAACCCAAGTGTGTTTTGGGCCTCTGGTACAGATCACAGGCAGTGGTCAGTGGCCAGGCTCCTGCCTGAAGAAGCTAAGTATACTCCGAGAAGAGCCATTCCTCAGGTCCACACTGAAGGCACAGCCAGTGAATCTGATTTTTGGTGGAAGCCACTGAATAACAAATCCCACCGTTCCCAGAGTGTGTCCTGCTGTGTGTGAACTATGTGAGGGCTGTATGGGCTAAGTGACCCTGAATCCTACTTCTACAGCCTATCAGGGGGTGTGTACAGCTGCTGCACCATCCCCTCTGCCTTCCACATAGGGCACCACCTCCTTCTGGTCCTCTTCAAAGGAAAGGGACTTGGGGGAGCAACTGGAACATGGTGCCCCCTCAGTGGTCCTGTCAGCTGTGGTCCACCTAAGTCCACAAGGTCCCTAGCAGGTGGAGGTACCGCCATTCTGAGTAAGTGGCTGTGGCCCAGGGTGCCAAGCTGCAAGGGCAAGTGCTTCCACTCCACGGGCCAGCAGTAGGGCCCTACTCAGGGCTGAGGGGCCTGTGAAAGCGCTGGCATGGAGTGCCCACCGCAGTGTCACCGCTGACTGGCCCAGTATGTCCCAGGCTCTAGATGCACTGGGGGTCAACACTACAGAGGGACAAAACCGTCCACCCTGGACACCAGACACAAACTGTCCTTAGGCCATGGTGGCATTGGGTAGCCAGGTTGCTTCAGAACAGTGACCCCAGCACTCTGGCTGCTGCAGGTTGAGATGAGGACCCCCTGCTGGCGGGGCAGACCGGGGACAGACACTGTTGCCACATCACCACCTCCATGCAAAAATGTCCAACTGTCCTGGGGTGGACTTGATATGGAGTCTCACTTTTCCTGAGTCGGGAGTCATTTGAACTCAAAAAGCCAATCCTGCTGAGTGTGGTGTTTCACACCTATAATCTCAGCTACTTGGGAGGCTGAGGCATGAAGATCACCCAGTTCAAGCCCAACAATTTAGTGAGTTAGAGAGATATTGTCTCAAAATACAAAATGGGCTTGGGATGTAGCTCAGTACAAAGGCCCTGGGTTCAATCTCCAGTGCAATCAACCAACCAATCAATAACTACTAAAAAGGACTGGGAGTGCAGCTCAGTACAAAGACCCTGGGTTTACTTTCCAGTTCTGGGGGCAAAGTGGGAGGAACCCAAACTTGTGTTTCCTAACTTGGCCTTGCCTGAGGGTCAGGGGAGGCAGTAGCTCTGCCTGACAGGTGCCCATAGGCTCCTGGGTCTGCTGTGTACACTGGGAAGACCAATGTTCCTGGCCTGAACGAGGTGACCTAGGCTACTGCCATGATGTGGGTGATTTCAGCTACTCTGAGGTGACAGGTGAGTGATGATGGGCCACAGGTGAGGAGGGTGATGGGCAGTAGCTGGAGGCTGAGGGATACACAGCCACAGACCAGGAGCTGCTGTCCCCAATAGGAAGGCGTTCCCCCACCTCCCCAGAGACCCAGTTTCCTCTAGCCTCCAGGGCCACACACATAGGAGGTCTCAACTTAGTAAATGACAATGTTGCTGCACTTGCCACCTTCCAGTGCACCTGGTGATGTGACCTCATTTTGGGTTTGCAAACAGCCTGGATTAACATAAAAAACTGCAGAAGCAAAGCCTGTGAGGGACCCCATTCTGGGGTTGACCTTTTGGGGAAAGGTGGGTCTAAGAACGCTATGCCTGGGTCCTGTGGGCAGCCTTGTGTTTGCCCCAGGTATGGACCCCAGGCTGCCTAGAGAGCTCTGCTAGATCCTGTGTCCTCCCAGGGCTGCTTTCTACAGGGTGGACAGCTCTGGACTGAATCCACAGGAGCAAGATGAGATGCGGCTGGGGCCTCTGTGTCACCACTGATCTCAGTGCTGTTAAGTCTCTGGTGCTCTGGGTTTGATGAAAAAGAGAAGCAACAGGAAAACCAAAATTTCCGCAATCATTTTCTCCTCCACAGATAGATGTCCTTTGGGATTACACTTCAAATGCAGAAAACAATTTGACGTGCACAGGGGACCCCATCCACCCAGCTGATAAAGTTCAGGGGTCCTGGGATGGTGGCTGGGACCTCAGCTTCTATGCTTTACAACACAGATGCTGTCTTATACTGTACAGTGTTAGGTGATATAGCACGTAGGTGATTAAAAATGCATTTCAAAATGAAACCTGTATCAACAGTGCAATAAATATACTGATCATAAGCAGTAAATGCATTGACTATGAACCAGGAAATCAAAACTGCAGCGTGGAAAGAGCAGCATTGATGAACCAGAGAGGAACATGGTGACCAAACTCCCAGAAAAGTTAGTGCTGTGAAAACAGCACACAGCCTGTGCTTATATAGCATGTGAACCATCTCTCCTTCAGTCCTGGAGCTGCTGGCAAGAGAGATTGCTCTAATTTCACTGGAAAAGGTTCCTGTGCAAGCAACTCAGGCAGAAAACCTCAGGCATGATCTCCAAGGAGCCGTTCTGAACAAGAACAGGCTCCCACTTGGGGATCTGGGAGGTGCCATCTGTGTCCGTCTCACAGTGTGACAAGGACACCTGGACATTCAACAGCTACACCCTGATGTGGGTGCTCCCAGGGGCATCAGGTAGAGTATATTCAGTCACACCTGCTCACAGCAGCAGGTGATGAGAACCACGGTGGCTCCTCAGGGATTTTCCTCACTCTGGTGAACACTCTATCCCATAGACAAGCTTCATATTAACATGGGGGCCAAGGATGGACTGCCAAGCATCACTCCTGACTTTTCTTCGAGGGACAACTGTGAACCTAAGTTGCAGAGAGCAGTGGGAAGGCAGGAGGATGCTGGCCCGGGCAGGTAGGCAGGGTCTTACTCAGCAGACCCTGTCACAGCCCTGTCTTCCCCACTTCTGCCCTACTGCAGGGGCTGGGTCATGCAGTAGGAACTTCCCCATCCCCAGGGATGGAGAAGCTGGTGGCCTTGTCCTAGCAGATTTGGTGTGGGGGCATGCTGCTGAGCAGCGCCAGCCAGGCTGCTGTGGGGATGAGAAAGGGCCCTGGAGAGACAGGTACTGATCCTGCCCACATCCCACCATCCTGGAAACAGCCTCAAGGGCGGAGGCTGAGGTCAAGGTTGCTCTGGCCACAAGGAAGTTTTTTTTGTTTTGTTTTTGCAGCACTAAGGATTGAACTCAGGGGCGTGCTCGCACTGTGGTACATTCTCTGCCCTTTTTTACTTTTTATTCTAAGACAGAATAAATTGCCCAGGTCAGGCAATTGCCAAACTGCTAAAATGCCCAGGCTGGCCTTGAATTTGCAATCTTAGCTGGGATTGTATGCATGTGCCATCTTGCCTGTCTAGAGAATGTCATCTTTCCATGCCAGGCATTGTGGTGCACACCTGTAATCTCAGCACTAGGGAGGCTGAGACAGGATCACTGCAAGTTC